GCCACACCAGCCAGGGCCATCTGAAAATGTTTGGTATCAGGAAAAAAAGCACTGATGAGGGTATGGGGCCACAGGAACTCCCAGCCATTGCTGGTGGGAATGCAAAATACTCCAAGCTCTTTTACAAGACAGTTTGATGGTTTCCTAAATATGTAGACATACTCTAGCATATGATCCAGCAATCATGCTCCTTGGCATGTACCCAGTGGAACTGAAAACCCGTGTCCACATAAAAATCTGCACACAAAACGAAAAAGCAAGGTAATGATATACACATACGCTTATTGTCAGAATTATGGAAAATACAGAAACCTTTAAAAAGATAACAAAAATCTATGTATAACTTCAGTACCCAAATATGATCTCTGTTGCTGCCGATGGGGTGGGTTTCCTTCCACTCTTTTTTCTACTTTCTACGCACATGAGTGTAGCCAATATGAATTGTACCACCACATCAGGAGGCCTTTAAAGTTTTTTTTGCAAAATAAAGGAAACTAAAATTAGCTCTAGTCTCTAACTACTGAATTAGCTAATAGCCTTTTTGGAGCTCTCGGTTCTCCTGGACTGCCCAGGGCCCTGAGGTTTCTGTACGGCACAAAGCTGCCCTGTGGACGCTCACATCTAGGGGGGAACAGTCCAAAGCGTTCCTCTTAAGCGCTGGACTGTGGCTCTTTCTGCAATTACTCCGAGCCACCACAAGATGTCACTCTCTGCACGCGCAAATCAATCTGACGCGGTAGGCCAGTCCTTTAGACCTTGAGACCTTGGCCTGTGAAGTGCCTTGCAGGAAAAATTCCACTCCCACAGCATCAGCTAATGCAGAATCCTTTGACAGTTCCCAGGAACTCCTTCTTAGTATCTTAAAGAGAGGAAGAGACATAGGGAGAGGGATGGAGGAGGAGGAGGAGGAGAGAGAGAGAGAGAGACATCAATCTGTTCTCCCACTCGTTTATGCCTTCACTGGTTGGTTCTTGTTTGTTCCTGGACTGGGGATCCAGCCACTACGTTGGCATATTGGGGATGACGCTCAAACCAGCTGAGCCACCTGGCCAGGACCTAAAACATTACCTTTAAGCGTTGCCCATATTCAAGGCATGGGTTAATAGCTTATGGTCTGAATTCTTTTAGTAAACAACTCCTTCCTTCCTCCCTCCCTTCCTCCCTTCCTCCCTTCCTCCCTTCCTTCCTTCCTTCCTTCCTTCCTTCCTTCCTTCTTCTTTCTCACCTTCCTTCCTCCTCCTCCTCCCCCTTCCTTCTCCTAGCAATGGCCTAATAAACCCTTCCTTTTAAAAAGAAAGAGAGGCACCCTGACTGGTGTAGCTCAGTGGATTGAGCATGGACTGTGAACCACAGAATCACCAGTTCGATGCCCAGTCAGGGCATATGCCTGCATTGGGGGCCAAGTCCCCAGGATGGGGCACCCGAGAGGCAACCACACATTGATGTTTCTCTCCCTCTCTTTCTCCTTCTCTTCCCTTCTGTCTAAAAATGAATAAATAACATCTTTAAAAAAAAAGAAAAGCTAGAATTACTTCTTGTCCCTAGAAAACATAAATATATTTACTTACATTTCCAAATTTCCAATAAAACAAGATATAGTCCACACACTGCAGTCTTTCTGGGTTTTGTTGTTTGTTTGTTTGTTTGTTTGTTTGTTCACTTGTTTTGCCACCTTAGCGTCTTCTCAAGGCTTTAAAACTTAAGGAGCCAGTGAGCTGTTGGGGAGTTCTTGGAGGTCAAACACTATTTTCATTCATTTCTAGTAATAAGTTCTCAGTCAACCTAAAACATTTGTAAAATTAAGCGATTTCCCTAGCGACGTGAAAGTTCCTATGCATCTGTAAGGATATTGGGCAGGCCTCCAGGAAGAACAGGAGAAGAGGAAGCATCTCCTCTAGGCTGGGCAGCCCAGGGCACAGAGGCCCAAACGTTTGTGTCCCTCCAGAGTCTGACCCTCCCCAGGCCAGTCAGGTGGCAGAGCCAGGACAACGCGGAGCAAAGAGAGAGGCAGATGGAGCTGAGCTGGGAACTGTGCGGGCCGGACAGCCCCCTCTGGCTGGGCAGTGTGGGGACCACTTCGGCCAGCCCGAGCGTTGCAGAAGCGGGGGACAGGGAAGCCCCTGCTTGGGGAACGACTCTCTGGATAGATCAGAGAGCTGAAGAAGAGGAACTCTGAGGCACCCGCAAGGACACGGTTCCTAGAACTCTCTTCGCCTGCCCCCTCTGGCTACAGACAAGTGTATTAACAAATGGAAAGGGCATGGCCTGGGAACTGCGATACTAGTGACAAGAAGTGGAACATCTCTCTTCCACTAACGGTTTCTGCTTGGGGTTTCTTATCCGCAGTCTGACTTGGCTTTGAACTCGGCGGAGGCAGACACAGTTCACGTTCCGGCCGCTGGGGGGTGGGGCGGGGAAGCGGCTGCCGGAGGATGCGCATCGCGGTCCGAGCTGCGAGCTGCTGTGCGCGCTGGCAGGGGCTGGGTGCCAGAGCGGGAGACGCCGCCTTTGGTACCCGGCTGCTCCGCGGTTGTCGGGTGAGGCTAGGAGGTTCGCATCTGTAGATTTATCTCCGGGAGTACAGTCTTTGATTCCCGTCTCAGCTCCGGAGAGAAGGCTCTCGCAATCGGGTAGCTGGGGAATTGGGTTTGGCATCTGTCACCTATCGCAACTGGGTTTCCGGGGACTCTGAATCCTTTGAGGGCTTGCTCAAGACTACGTTTCCCAGGAGGCCGTGCGGTGATTGAAATCTCGATTAACCTATGGATAGGGAAGATTTCTGGTCTCGGAAGCTGAGAGCCAATGGCAGGAGGACGTGGGCGGTGTTCTGCGGTGGCTGGCCCTGGAGCTCAGAGTCCCACCTGTGCGGACGCAGTCCTGTCACGAATCCCGCTAGGATTCGGGTACGGAGGGACCGGCTCCTGTGGTGGGCCGGGAGCGGCTCGGCGGCGGAGGACTCTCCCTCCTGCCCCGTCCCCTCGTGGGCCCCGGGGCGGTGAGTGGGTGCGGGGAGGGAGACAGCGGGGGCGCTGCTGAGGAGCCAGAGCGGGCTCGCCTGCAGCCCCGACGCTGTCTCTGCCGGGTCCTCGCGCCCGCCCTGCGGAGCCCGCGGGTCTGCTGAGGAGTGGGCGGAGGCAGCTGCGGGTTTCTGGGCCGTCCTCGGAGTATCGATCCTCGTCTCCTTTCCCTTGCTCCTCGGTGGTGGTCCCCGGGGCCGCAGTTGAGCTCTGTGACCCTCTGACCGCCGCACCCCGATTCGGGCCTGCAGCGCGGCGAGTGGAGGGGGGGGCGAACGGGTGGCGGCCGACCGGGGCGCTCCTGTTCCTACTAATAAACCCAGTGACACCCCGGTGCTTCTCGCAAGGGCACTTAGGCGCCACGCCCAGCGCTCTGGGGCCTTCGCCGTCTCCCGCCCAGGGGGCGCTGCAGGAGGCGTGCGAGGCGGGGTTTCTGCGACCGCCGCCGGAACTCGGTCCCCTCCCTCCCGCGGTCTCCTGCCCGTGGGCCGCGCCGCCGGGGGCCGCGTGATGGCCGGAGAAATCAAATTCGTGCTCGAAGCTCAGCCCAGTGTTGACGTCTCAGTGATAGTGTGTTTGTTCGTGGAGGTTCTAAGCCGGGGAGATAGATGACCGGTATTGCCACGGGTTTAGTGGCTGTACGTGGATGCATGTTTCCCTGAAAAGTGTCCGTGTGTGTGTGTGTGTGTGTGTGTGTGTGTGTGTGTGCATTCTAGAAGTTCTAGGTGCTTCCACTGGGGAAGACAACGGTGTGAGAGAGTCGCACTTCCTCGCCCCCCTCCGGTCCATCCCGCGCTGCTGCAACGGGGAAAACTCTTTGTAGCGGACTCAGTGGCTGGCTGGCTTGTGCTTGTTCCTGCTGGAAAGTCTCCGAAGGGGGAGGGGCCTAGCTTCTATTTCTGGGCGACTCCTGCTGCCTTCCAGCATAGGAGTTAACGAATAAATTACCGATCCATCCTGCAATCTGGTCGTCTCCCCCCAAAGAAATGGTGCTGGATACTGCTGTCAATTCTATTAAATTGGTTTTAGTGGGAATGAGTGTCTTCAGCCCCTAGGGTTTGTTTCGTGCTTATCCCCAATTGAATTTCTTTCTTTCTTTCTTTTTTTTTTGTATTTTTATTAGTTTCAGATGTACAGCACAGTGATTAATCATATATTATCCCCATTGAAGTTTACTTAATTTTACAGCTTATCCACCTTTGTATTGTTATTTTTAGAATCCATGACTTTTTACATCTCATGTTTTCACACCATTACACCGTGAAAGAGGGCCCTGGCCAGGTAACTCAGTTGGTTAGAGCAACCTCCTGGTAAGGTTCCATGCGCCGTCAGGGCTCGTGCAAGAAGCAACCAAAGAACACATAAATAGGTGGAACAACAAACCGATGTTTCTCTCTCTCTCCCCCTTCCCCCCATCAATAAATTAAAAAAATAATAATTAAAAAAACACCTTGAAATAGAATGGTACCCAGTAGAAAACCTTTGGGGTTTTGCTTGATCTGTCCCTTGAGTTTGACACCAAATCTCCAAGCCTTGAAAAGCCAACTCTTCTCATAACTGATATGAGTATGATTAGGTCCGCACTTGCTCGTTGCTGAGGAAAATGTAGTTGGAAAGAATCTAAAGCTTTCCAGAAGTTGCATTATACCTGGACACCCTCTGCTTTGTTTACCACGGGCAATTTGTTCCTTGGAAAGTCCGCGTGTCCAAAGACAGGGTCCCGTTCGTGCGTTTGAGAGGCGTGAGCCTCTCTAGTAACAGGAAAGTTGCCCGAGGGGAGGGTTCTGTAAAAAGAGAATAAAGAAAAGCGAACCTTCTGTGGTCGACAGTTTCCCTGAGAGCTACTGGAGTTGGGGGCGGGGGTGGGGGCGGGCTTTGTCTGAGCCCACGGGGATCCTCTATCCTGGGCGGGTGTCTTCTGGTTTGTAGACTGTGGGAGGGGCATCCAGAGAGCTACTGATACATCCCCAGGTCTCCCGTTCCAGCACCTGATGACCCCTAACGCTGTGGCTGGCGACCTCGGGGAAGAGTGGGCAGTGCTTAGAGAACCCTCTTCAGGCGTACCGCCTGGCGCAGTTGGAAGAACGGGCTCTCGAAGGGTAAGGGTGCCGCGCTCCTTTAGACTTAAAACACGTGTTCTAAGAAGGCCCAGGTCTCAGCAGTCTCTGGGGATGCTGGTCTCTCAGAGCTCCGGGTCCCTGTGAGAATGAACAACGGTTACCTCCCTGGCAGGGAAAGGAGGACTTTCTTTTTTATGGCACTTCATGGTTTGCAGATGCCTTTGGTCTTTATTGTCTTGTTAATATCTCACCGTACCCTTTGATGTATGTATTATCTGTTACACAACTCTTTTCTTCACTTTTAGAATTCCCAGAATTAGAAATGCTAGGTCAAAAAATAGGTACATTTCTAAGGTATTTGATATTTTTGCCAAATGCCTTGTAAAAAGATTAAATCAATTTATTTATTCCCACAAGTATTATATGAAAGTGTCCATTTATACCATCATAGTGGATACTATAATATAAGTCTGGCTTAATTAATAATGATAGCTAACGTTATTTATTAGTAATGATAGCTAACTTACCACTTAATTCTCATAACTCTGTGAGATAGGTCTTATCATTATCCCCATTTTATAGATAAAGACACAGACACAGAGAGTTTAAGTAACCTTCCTAAGGTCACACAGCTCGTAAGAGGCAGGGTTAGGATTCAAACGCAGGCAGTCTGAGTCTTGAGTTTGTACTCTTTATCTCTACACTCTATTGCCTACATGTATCGCTGTTCTAATTTTAATTTCTTTGGTTAATAGTAAGATGAAAGGTTTTCCATATATTTATAAGCTACTTTTGTGTGTGTGTGAATGCCTGTTCATGTCCTATGCCCATTTTTCCCCCGACAATTGTCTTTTTTTCTCATAGCTCAGCGATTTTCAACTTTTTCCATCTTAAAGCACACATACACTAACTACTAAAATTCTGCAGCCCACCACAAAGTATACTTTTTGATGATCTGACAAAATATAGGTATAATTTTAATTCATTCACAGCAAACAGCTATTGTTGTGTTGGCCATTGTCATTTTTTCACTTGACACTCTAAGGGAAAAGAGGTCAGTAGGTCAGTGCCCCTGACTAAATAGTCAGGCATTGCGTGTTATAAAAATTCTTGCAGCACACCAGCTGAAAATCACTGTCATAGCTGCATCTGTTGCTGCCCTTCTGGGAAAAGTTTAAAGTCCAATATTGTAATTAACTTCCTTAGGGTCATGAAGACTTTGTTTCTGATAAAGTTATCTCTCCCCATGGGTTTAGCCTTGTGCCTTCAGAGATGAGTTATCGCACTTACTCTAGAGTTTCTGTGACAACTCAGGTGTTTTGTTTTGTTTTGTTTTTTAAATAAGAGGGAAAAGGCTTTTTCTCAGCCTCTTGGGGAGATCCCCCTGTTTTATCACTTCATCATGCCTGCCCTTTTAATGAGATCAAACGCACGTAACAGTTTCTCTGGGCGTTCTCTTCTGTCTAGGGAAGGATGGGGGCTTACATTTTGGCCCGACCTTGTGTGAGTGGCTCAGACTCACATCCCGCATTCATCTTCCTCCGTAGGATTTCTAGACCCAGTGTCATTTCCCAGCTGGAGCAGAAGGAAGAGCCCGGGGTGCCACCACTGCAAACTTTTGAGACAAGGACGATCCCGAGGGAAAGCACCCAGGTGAGCCGTGAGTGCCGCCTGCTGGGAGAAGGATCGGGGATGCTGCCCTGCACTTTCGCTCTTCCTGTCGGAAGTTCACATTTGGGTTCTTGGGCGGTCAGTCACTGACCAACTGAAGTCTCTTTTTAAGTAAGCATTTGACTTCTGTTTTGATTATAACATCTCTGAAAGGAGTTGCCCAGTTTTGACAATATGTGGTCTACTCTTGAAGGATGTGAAGTTCACGTCATGGTTTCTGTAAGCTTAATGAACTTCAATAAACTTTTTTTAAAAAGGTTTTATTTGTTCTGGCTGGTGTAGCTTAGTGGATTGAGCGCGGGCTGTGAACCAAAGTGTCGCAGGTTCGATTCCCAGTCAGGGTACATGCCTGGGTTGCAGGCCATGACCCCCAGCAACCGCACATTGATGTTACTCTCTCTGTCTCCCTCCCTTCCCTCTCTAAAAATAAATAAATAAAATCTTTAAAAAATGCTGTGATTTAAAAAAGATGTTATTTGTTTATTTTTAGAGAAAGAGGAAGGGAGGGAGAAAGAAAGAGAGAGAAACATTAATGTGTGGTTGCCTCCCATGCGCCCCCTACTGGGGACCTGGCCTGCAACCCAGGCATGTGCCCTGACTGGGAAACGAACCAGCGATCCTTTAGTTTGCAGGGCAGCACTCAACCCTCTGAGCTACACTAGCTAGGGCAACTTCAATAAACTATTCTCAAAGCAAAAACCAAAGTAGTCAAATTAAGTCTAGCCTGTTGCAAAAACACTATTTTTTTTTTTTTTTTACTAAGGAAAGTACTGCCTTTTTTTTTTTTAAGATTTTATTTATTTATTTTAGGGAGGGAAAGGAGGGGGGAGGGGGGAGGGAGGGGAGAGAGAGAGAGAGAGAGAGAGAGAGTGAGAGAGTGAGAGAAACATCAATGTGCGGTTGCTGGGGGTTATGGCCTGCAACCCAGGAATGTACCCTGGCTGGGAATCGAACCTGGGACACTTTGGTTCCCAGCCTGAGCTCAATCCACTGAGCTATGCCAGCCAGGGCTGCAAAAACACTAATTTTAATCTTTCTTGCTATTTTCTGATGTTTGTCCCTAATAACGTTATTCTCTGTCAACTTCTGTTCATCTTTCAGACTTTGAGAATCAGGTAAAAAAACTCCATCAGGACACTTTGGAAACAGCAGAACAAGGTGGAGCATCCTCAGAAAGGGCCAATAAAAGTGTCGCTCGTACTCCCGTCCGGGGAGGAACCTGGGAGAGGGGCCTTGAATCAGGAGAGCGTGGCCGCCATCCAGGACAGGGCCGTCGGGAGCCCTCCTCGCAGGACGGGGACCTAACCCAGCTCCTGGGTGGATTTGTAGGGAGGAAGCCTGTGTGTGCAGAGTGTGGGAAAAGCTTTAACCAGAGGTCCTGTCTCGTGAGGCACCTAAGAACCCATAGCGGGGAGAGGCCTTATAAGTGCGCCGAGTGCGGGAAAGCCTTCAAACAGAGCTCAGGCCTCGTCACCCACCGCAGAACCCACACGGGAGAGAGGCCCTGCCCGTGCAGTGCCTGCGAGAGGAAGTTCAGCGACAGCTCCACGCCGGGGAGAGACCCTACGCGTGCCCGGAGTGTGGGAAGACTTTCGGGTGGAAGCCGCACCTGGTCATGCACCAAAGAACCCACACGGGAGAGAAGCCCTACACGTGCCTCAAATGCCATACAAGCTTCATTCGAAGCTCAGATCTCATCACCCACCAGAGGACGCACACGGGAGGGAAGCCTTACGGGTGCGATGACTGCGGGGAGAGTTTTCGCCAGGGCTCGGATTTGGTGAGGCATCGGCGGCGGACGCACACGCAGGGGAGCGGCCCTTGCGGTGCCCGCGGCGCGGGAAGGCCTTCAGAGACAGCTCTCACTTCGCGGCTCGCATGACCACTCACGCCGGAGAAAGGCCTTTCCGTTGTCCCTCCTGCCACAAGGGTTTCAGCTAGAGCTCACACCTGGTCGCGCACGAGAGGACCCGCACACAGGCGAGAGGCCTTTTCAGTGCGGCGACTGTGGGAAAGGCTCCGCTGACAGCGCTGCCCTCCTTAAGCACCAGCGCACCCACTCGGGAGAGAGACCCTACCGATGGACCCACTCGGGAGAGAGACCCTACCGATGCGGCGAGTGTGGGAGGAGCTTCAGCCAGAGCTCCCACTTCGCGACCCACCAGCGCGTCCACGTGGGGGGCAGGCCCTTTCGGTGCCCTGAGTGCGGCAAAACCTTCCGTCAGCGTTCGCGTGTCCTGACACACCACAGGACGCACACGGGAGAAAGGCCTTTTCGCTGCGGCAAATGCGACAAGCGCTTCCGTCGGAAAGCACACCTTTTATGCCATCAAAACACTCATCTGACTTAGGAAATGGTCTCCAGTGGCTCTCCCGTTCCCTTCCACGTTTTGGTTGCTGCGGGCTTCAAGCCCCCCACGGAGAGAAAACCCGAACCCGGGCTTCGGAGGCTTCCCGAGGGCCCTGACCCGTTCAGTCTCTCTGCTCTTCCCCACGTTTTGTGATGAGGATAAAACTTTAGGGTCCGAAGAACATTTTGAACACAAAAGGCAATCCTTCCGTGTTTTTGATGGACTCTTAGACAGGGAAATGGGAGTTTAATGACTGATGCCTGCTTACTGAAAGAGAAGCGAGATACATGTGGCCTAGAGATCTCGCGTAAGCCACCTCGCACGGTGCCTGGCATAAAGTAGGTGCTCAGTAACCGACCGGTCACATTATCACTATGATGATCAACACCTGAGATCTTATAGGAAACCCGCCATACAGCATCTATTCCTTAAAAGATACTCCATACAAAGTCAGTGGCTTGTATCAGAGTCATTACTCACAAAGGAATTTATTAGCCCAGTCCTGCACTAATTAGTGCAGCCCAGGACTTGCAACGAATTAGGTTGGCGTTAGAAGATTTGGGGTGTGAGCCCATGGATTTCATAAAACAGAGAGTACTCTCCCGACCGAGTGCTCTGCAGGCATTAGTCACCGGCTGTCTCATCGCCATGACAGGGCAGGGTTACCGCAGAGGACATCTGCAGTCTTGTGACTAAGAAGCTGAAACAATTTCAGAAGCTTTTGCACTGCGCTGTCTGAGGCACTGCCCCTGGGGTCTGCTGCCATGTGAGGCACAGGAACTATCCGGTGACGAGCCGGCAAGAGGGACCTGGGGGAGCACTGCAGCGAGGCTGCGGAAGCAACACTCCCGAGACTGTTAAATAATATCGCAGGGGTGTTCCCTGGCATTCGTTCAGCTGTAGGGAAGGACTCCTGTTTTCCAGTGTGCTGGGGCATTGCCTTTTCGTTTTTTGTTTTGTTTTTTTTTCTTTTTAAACGTCAATGTGTGGTTGCTTCTCGCACACTCCATACTGGGAACCTGGCCTGCAACCCAGGCATGTGCCCCGACTGGGAATCAAACCAGGGACCTTTTGGTTTGAGGCCTGCGCTCAATCCACTGAGCTACAGCAGCCAGGGCTGCCTTTTCGTTTTAAGTTAGTGCAACTCTCTGATCCTTTGAGGGTCACTCATTTGACCACTGGTACATTCCTGTATTTAACTGAAATGTGTCGAGGGAGGTCAGCATGCTGAAAAGAACCTGAACATCACTGGGAAGATAAGTCACTCGAGCCCTGGCCCCAACACTTAACTCGGCCAGACCTCCACCTCCTCTCGTGGTCTAATACCTACGTGGGCGCAAGTGGGCAATGCAGGCCCACGGGCACTTTCTTGTTAAACTGTGGACTTTGATGTTGCAGTATTGTCGCTGAAGTCTTTGCTTTTTCCCAAGGAACTCTGGATAATATTTCTCCAGATGTCTCGTTGTCTCTCATGATGAGGGACTTGTTTTTTCCACCCGTTGGAAACGTAAGGCCTGAAAAGGCCCCACGACTCGTTGCGGGTCACGTGTTTCACCGCAGAGCCAGATTTTGGCCGCAGGTCCGCTCATCAACCTGGCACAGACCCGAGCTGGAATCTGTCGCGGTCTCTGGAACACTGCAAGACCGCAGGGCCCATCTTCCAGCCTTCAGACCCCTGTGAGTTCGGAAAAGACGCAGGCAGGCGGCCTGCGCTCCCAGCAGCTTTCCAGGATCGCGGGCTGGGGCTCCTTGATCCTCCGGCAGTGAGAGCCGACAGGTAAGGGCAGATGCAGGCAGGGGATGGGCTCTGGGCGTTGAACGCTCTGGAGAGAAAAGTGGGTGCCTGAAGCTGTTAACACCGACTAAAGGATTACATCAGCCTTGGAATCTGGTTTGTTCCCTTCCATGGGGACGGCCACCTGAGGGCTGTAACTCACGGGGCACAGAATTCGCTGATAACCTAACCTCGCTCTTTGACAGGAAAATTAGATAGTTGACCAAGAAAAAGCAAATCTGGTTAATCCTGGGCAGGGGTTCTCAAAATGTGAGTGCTAAGAAACAGACCCTCCTCCCCTTATATAAGTACCAATAAATGTCCAGAAAATTACAGCCCCAGGCTTCTATCGCCTGCCAACCTTGGGCCACCTGTCTGAATGCAGGATGCCGTGCTGTATTAATAAAGTTCTTGTGTTATTAGAAATAAAAAACAAATGGCTTTGCGGAGAAAAAAAAATAAGGCTCTCGTGAACACCTTTTCTTCTCCTCCCAGAAAACATATGTTCCCACAATTTTGATTATTTCTACAGGGTGTGAACATTTTTACAGCCCCTGTTACTTGCTGCTAAATCATTTTCTGAGCCAATCGTACTAATTTACAATGCTGCCAGCAGCAAAGGACCACAGGTTCTACCGCACCCTCAGTCTCGAGACCAAGTTTCGCTAATTTAAGAGATGGGATTTTTAAAAGGGCTCTGTGTTATACTTACTGATTTTCCAGCTTATACCCACTGGATGGAGAAGCACAAACGATAGTACTTTTCCACCCTCGAAGCCCTGACTGGGTATCGAACCCCTGGCCTTTCAGAGTGCAGGACGGTGCTCCCACCAACCGAGCCACACCAGCTAGGGCAAGAGCTGGGGTTGGTACATCCTGTTTTCGTTGCATTTCTGTGATTTGCCAAGTTGAACATTTTTTTCGTATGTTCCCAGCTTCTTTCTTGACTTTCTACTGTTTGTCATTTGTGTATTTAGAGTGTAGAATGAGAATCAAGACGCTTTGTTGAGTTCCCTCGCTGCTTTGTTCCTTTTTTCATTCTTAAGTGATACATGTTCATTTTGGAAATGTCAGAAAGTGCAGCAGCAACAAAAAAAATATCACCTATTATCCCACCTTGCAGAGTTAAATGCTACTGTCTATTGTCTATCTTTTGACACATTTTCTAACAAAAATATAAATATATCACCTAACTTTTCTGAACCTGTTTTCTTTTCTTTTTTTAAAAAAGATTTTATTTATTTTATTTTTAGAGAGGGGAAGGGAGGGAGAAAGAGAGAGAGAGAAACATCAATGTGTGGTTGCCTCTCATGTGGCCCCCACTGGGGATGTGGCCCGCAATCCAGGCATGTGCCCTGACTGGGAATCGAACCTGCGATGCTTTGGTTCGCAGCCCGCACTCAGTCCACTGAGCTGTGCCAGCCAGGGCTGAACCTGTTTTCTTATATATTAAAAACAAAACAAATACGCCCCGGCTGGTATGGCTCAGTGGATTGAATGCCAGTGTGCGAACCAAAGGGTCACTAGTTCGATTCCCAGTCAGGGCACATGCCTGGGTTGAGGTCAGGTCCCCAGTAGGGGGTGCACCAGAGGCAACCACACATGGATTTCTCGCTCCCTCTCTTTCTCCTTCCCTTCCCCTCTCTCTAAAAATAAATAAATAAAATATTAAAGAAAAACGAAAACAAGAATACTGGTCTCCCAAATCGATAATTAAAAGAGCCAGTGTACGTGAAGGTGATTTATGAAGTGCAGGATGTTACACGGAGGCAAGTTGCTGCCCTTATGCCCTGAAATGCCCTTTGCTGCGCCCCAAAGAGTGATGACAGTGTTCCCCCGACACAGCCCGCCCTCTGCAGGACAGTCTCTTCTCTCTGAAATGACTTCGGCCTCAGTTTTTCCCACCAAACCGGTATCCACTCTACTTTTAAAAGTTCCATATGTAGGATGTACAGAAGATATAAAGAGGAGTGCAAAGAACAGCCATGTATCTCCCTCTCAGCTTAAGAAATAAAATTCTGTCAACTCCATTTTATTTAAAAAAAAAAAGTAAATTTTACCAATGCACTTGAAGGTCCCTGTGAATTCTTCCTGAATTGCAGCCCCTTCCCAGCCCTTACTCCACCCTCCCGAGACTGGTGGTTTTCACCCCCGGGCCTTCACACTTATCTATGCTTTACCTCTCTATGTATTTATCAAGAGATATTCACACAGGTCCCTAAGCAATGTATAATATTGATTTGCAAAAAGCTGTTTAAACCGTCTGTGAGTGAGTATCAAGGTAAGTATTCTACACTCCCCCCCCCCCAATATTATGTTCGTGAGAGTTGCCCACATTGGCAGATGTACTTCATTCATTTCTTTGTTTTAATATTCTCCATATAATCACAGTGAAATGTATCTGTTTTCCTGATGATGGCCATTTAGACCATTTGTGGATTTTGCTGCCACAGGCATTTCTGCAAGGAACATTTTGATATGTCTGTTGGCATACATGTGTAGGCTTTCTCTGGGTATGTGCACCTAGGAATGGAAGGAACTCTGAGGTCATAGGTTAAGTACATCTTTTTTTAAAAAATATTTATTTTTTAGAGAGAGGAAAAAGGAGAATGAAAGAGAGGGAGAGAAATATCAATATGTGGTTGCCTCTCACACATCCCCAAATGGGGACCTGGCCTGCAACCCAGGCATGTGCCCTGACTGGGAATTGAACCTGTGGCCCTTTGGTTCACAGGCCAGCTCTGAGTCCACTGAGCCACACCAGCCAGGGCAAGCGCATCTTTAACTACCTAGTGCCAAATTGTTCTCCCGAGTAGTTGTACTGATTTCCATTCTCACAGTAGGTATTCCGTTAACTATTCTTGTCAACTTTTTTTTGTACTGTCAGACTTCAACATTTTTCCAATCTGAGGGGTATGGAATGACGTTGCATTTTTAATATGCATCTCTCCGATTGCCAGGGAAGTTGAACAGCTTTTTACAAGTTTGTTGGCTGTTCCTTCGACCTCTTCAGGGAATGCCGTGCTCATAAAGCCCTCATTCCCTAAGGCCCCTTGGAACCCCTCCCTGTCCTCGGAGCGTGTGCAGGTCTCCGCCGTCTGGCAGAGGGGATCTCCTGTGGATCTCTGTAACCTTTTGCACAGTGCATCCTGGATTACACTTTTTATTTCATCTTGTAAAGTCCCTTGTGCACTCTGCTAGAGGGCAGGGACTATATTTAGTTCAACTTTATGACCTTGTTAGTACCCCATGCAAAACAAACATTTCATAAATCTTTGTTGAGTCAAATTATAACTCTCCCCTGCTTTTAAAGACTGAAATAGTTTTCTCTCGTCTACAGAAGAGAGCGGAACCTCTCTAATGTCGAATTTAAGACCCTCACGTGGGCATCAACTTGCCTTTCCTGCTGCTTCTCCCAGCCTGACCCTGCCTTCTGCCCCAGATACCAGACTCTCTGCCCACAATGAGGGCCCAGTCTGCGAGTGTCTGGCTTTCCTCCCCGCAGCCGGGATGGCAGGTTGATCCCG